CTCAGCGGTGGGGGCGTGGTGCTTATCGTGGACGGCGGCCGCCTGGGCAACGCGAAGCCGTTGAAGAAGCCGTGGGTGCCTCCCGTGGCTGCGGTGGCGTCAGACGAGAAGCCCCCCGAGGACGATGAGGCCGACGACGACCTCGACGAGGATGAAGAGAAGGAGCCGAACAGGATGAAGCTGAAGCACCACATCGTTCACGTCATTGCGAGCGAGGAGTCGTTGAAGGCAAAGCGCAAACTCTCGAGGGGGCCAGCGAGCCTCCAGCAGGTGGAGAACATGCACGTGCTGACAGTGGGCAACCTCGCGCTCCCCGAGCGTGCTGGGAAGTACTACGACGGCTCCAACAAGGGCACGGTCATCGGCCCAGTGACACTACCAACGCCAGAAGAAGAATGGCGCACAAGCGTCAAGAACAAGCGTGAGATCTACACGAAGAAGAATCGGATTCCAGTGGGAGGCAAAACAGCTGGCCTCGATGCCCCCGAGAAGCGCAGCGACACAGACATCGAGCCCGTGTTTTGGTGGACGTTCCCCGTCCTGTTCTACCTGGAGGTGCTGCACAGGTTCTTCGGGCGCACGGTCGTCGACCTGACGCCAGGGCCTGGGAACTTCGCGGAGGCGGCGCTGAAGAGGCGGACAGGCTACTTCGGCATCGCCATGTCCCAGAAGCACGCCTCTGGCATCGAGGAACGGTTGAAGCTCGTCGCGCTCGCCATGATGCGCGACCCTGAGAGCTGGCTCTACAATGCGAAGTATGCGGAGGCCATGGGCGAGGCGAAGAAAGATGTCACCCCTGAGCCCAAGAAGGCCAAGCGCAAGCTTAAGGGCACGGACAAGGGTGCTGAGGTCGAGCAGAGCGGCGACAAGCAGCCGCCGCCCAAGAAGAAGCTCAAGGGCAAGGGCAAGGCTGTCGACAAAGACGGCGAGGAGCCCGAGCCTGATGGCGAGGAGGAGGAGGATGGCAGCAACTGGGACCTCTCGGGCGACGACGGTGAGGGTGGCAAGGACTGATATTGAATGAGGATGGTTGCGTTTGCTTGCAGTGGTGCGCATGTGTCTCTTAGTTTGGCCTCCAGGGCCCCAGCAGCGCTAGATGATGATGATGATGAAGAAGATGATGATGATGATGATGATGATGATGATGATGTTGATGATGATGATAATGATGATGATGATGCTGATGATGCTGATTATGCTGAGGAGGATGAGGAGAAGAAAGAGGAGGCGGAGGAGGATTATGATGAAGAGGAGGATGAACAGGAGGAGGAGGAGCAGCAGCAGGAAACTGAGGAAGAGGAGGGACGCGATGAACCTTGGATCGGCTCGGTGCATGGTGCCCGCATTTTTGCTTCCAGGGCCGTGGCGAAGAACTGCCACGGAGGGGGTCCAGCACAGGGGCGTTTTACACAGCTTGCTCGCCCTCCTTATCCTCCTTCGATTGGTGACTAAACTAAACAAAACTGAACTCCACCCTCCGCCTGAGTGAAGCTGTCCCTGGAACGCATCGCTCGGACATGCGTTTGAATGTCGTGGTGGGCACCGCGACGACGACGACTAAGTCGAATACTGTGCTCGGCTCGCGGAGAGCTGTCCTCCTCTGATCCCTCGATCCTCGGTCCTCGACTTTGGATCCTCGTCCCTCCTCCTACTCCTCCTTCTCCTCCTCCTTCACTGCTGTCGGAGCCGTGGCTGGATGCACCGTGAGAGCTGGCCGCCCCCGCTGAAGTCGGCAAAAACCGTCCTCTCGTCATCCCCCCGAAGGGTGAGGAGGAGGAGGATGAGGAGGAGGAGGACGAGAAAACTGATGGGGGGCAAACTAAAACGACCCCGTCCTCCTCCTCCTCCTCCTCCTCCTCCTCCTCCTCCTCCTCCTCCTCCTCCTCCGTCCTCCTCCGTCCTCGCCGTTTTGGCGCGAGGTGTTGTTGCAATCAGTGCCCGAAGGCCTCCGACACTAAGTTGCTCGGGTCCATGGCCCCCAAACGGAGGCCAGCAGCTGCGCGCCATGCCATTCGCACGTTCTCGTATGATTCGCTGAAGGCACGCTTCCTGGAGCAGATCCAGAAAAATAAGGTGCTCGCGGTCCACAACGCCAGTTTGCGCAAGAGGGTGAAGAAGTTGCGGACTGGTTTGACACAGATTGGGAAGGCCATCGAGAAAACGCTCAGAACCGACAACAACGATGCCATCCAGGGGGCTCTCGATATCCAGGCGGTTCGCGACGGCGACGATGCGCAGGATGCCCCCCCGTCTGACATTGCTTCTGATTGAGCAGTGCCGAGCCTCTCCCGCACCTAGGCTTTCTTAGGCTCTCAGGGCGCATCTCGTCTGTGACAGTGATGACGCCCCGCGCTGCGGGAACTCCTTTCGTCGGAGCTCGGAGGCGGGCGCAGCAAACAGAGCCTTCAGAAACCGACGGGAATCGGCAACTCTCCGAACGTGCCCCCTAGGGCCCGCTGGGGCCCATCACGGTGACGCCGCGTACGACGAAGATGACGAGTACGATGAAAATGGGTATGCTGAAGATGCTGACGATAAACATGACGATGATGACGATTATGACGATGGCGATGACGATGACGATGATGATTATGGTCATGATGATGATGCTTATGACGATGATGATGCTGATGATGATGACGACGAGGATCATGATGCTGATCATGGTGCGGATCATGATGATCATGATGACTTCGATGACGATCATGATGATGATGATGATGATGATGATGATGATGATGTTGTGATGGTAATGACAATGGTGATGACGATAACGATGGTGACGATGGCGGTGCGATGATTAACATCGACTGCGATGCAGATGATAACGACAACGATCACGACGATGATGGTGATTACAATGACGGGGGGCTGCCGATTCCCGTTGGTTTCCCAAAATATCTGAGGCTCCACCCGCTCCGTCTGCCCCTTCGGAATAAGGATCTCTGGGTTCCCGCAGGGCACTGCATAAGGCGGGACCCTACGATGTGGGACCCTATGGGGCGGAACCCTATCAGGCGGGACCCTGTGGGGCGGGGACCTCTGGGAATCTATTGGGCGGGCCCATATAGGGCGGGACCCTATGGGGCGAAGCTTGTAATGGGAATCCGTCGTAGTTCGTACAATCATAGATATAGTAATCATCCTGGTAGTCGTCATCATCATCATCATCACCAATATACATATATACATATATATATACATATATCATCATTGTCATCATCATCATCATCATCATCATCATCATCATCATCATCGTCATCATCATCGTCGTCATCATCATCAGCAGCATCGTCATCGTCATCATCGTCATCGCCATCGTCATCATCACCATCATCATCATCATCAGCATCATCATCATCGTCCATCTTCTTTCTCCTCCTCCTGATCCCCCCCCTCCTTGTCCTGGCCCCCCCCCAGGTCCTCCTCCTCGTCGTCCCCCTCACTGTTAGCGGGTGCGGGGGGGGGTCTCATATGTTGACCCCCCCAATCATAACCCCGCAACCCCGCTAAGCGAGGGTAAGCTGGAGCTGTCCGCTCGCCGAGCCCGTGCGCCCGCTTCGCATCCAGGGCGGCAGCGCCAGCCACAGAGCCTCCACGATGAAGGAGCTCGTCGCTGCCAGGCTGGCGATCCCGGGCGACCCAGTGGAGGTCGCCAGGACGCGACACGGCAGCCTGCAGAACCCAATCGTGAAAGCCTTTCAGGGCCAGGCGCAGTGCCGCACGCTGGGCGACCTCAGCGACCCGGCGGATCTCGCCTCGGAGCACGCCCGCCTGCTCGGCGGTGAGACGCAGCACCACGAGGAGCCGGGTCCGTCCTCCGGGCAGCCCGCTCCTCGGCGTCCAGGTCGACGACGCCGCGCGGCGGTGTGCTGTTGGCGGCGGCTTGCAACACGGCGCGCCTGGTCGCCCCTGGCGCTGGCCACACCTGGCGGGACGGCACCAGAGATTGGAGGCCTGGAAATAGGCACCAACATCAACACAGGGGGCTTGCTTTCACAGGGGGAAGATGATCCCAGATTTCGGTGTTTGTGGCAATATTTCGGCCACCTTGGAAGCCAGATGATTACCACCATCACCGAGATCGGGATCTTCTCCCCTCGGTGGGGGCACACCGCCGATATTGGTGTTGGTGTCAACCTCTGGGCCTGTGAAGAGAGCTCATCCGCGCATATGCCGGCAGCGGCTGCAAGCTCAAACCACCACTTCGCCACGGGGTCGGCCGGGCTGACCTCCCAGGCAGGGCGCGGCACGGCCACTGGGCGCCGCTGGAGTCGCCTGGGAAGGGCGCGCCCACGGCAGCGGCTCCACTCCTGCGCGGCCACCTCGCACTTCGAGGCGCAGAAGAGCGCCACCGCCTGCACCCGTGCGCCGAAGGATTGGGCCGAGCTGCAGCGCAAGTGGTGTGCACCGAAAGCCAAGGAGAGGCCTGGACGTAGTCGGGGGGGCGGCTCCGAGCCTCGAGGGTGATGCGGACGGCCACGCCCGAGAGCGGCGTCGCCTGCCGACGAGCGCCGCTCCGCGGACACTTGCCCCAGGGTGGGCCGTGTGGGCGCGGGAGGATCCGCATCCAGGGATTGCGACTGCCCCAACTCGGGACCTGCGGCGCCGCCATCGTCGGACCCGTCGAAATCGGCCATGGTCGAAGCCCTCGGGGGTCGCCCATGGTCAGCGGCACTGCCGATCGAGGCAGCGGCGGCGGCATAATGCACCGAGGGCGCCGCCTGGCATGGACCCGAACCGGGGTCGGAGCGGGCTGCAGTGCCGACGGGTCAACCTCGCGCCGGGGCCTTCGCTTGCTCCGTGGCGTGGGCGGCGGAGGCGGACGGCGGAAAGCCGCTGACCAGCGCAGGTTCCACCCCATCGCCTTCTCCGCCTGGAAATGCAGGCTAACCGCTGAGGTCTGCCACTACCTCGTGAATTGGGTGCTCGCCTCCACGCCCAGGGGAGGAGGAGGATGAGGATGAGGATGAGGATGGTGATGGTGATGGTGATGATGCTGATGATGATGATGAGGAGGAGGAGGGAACCATACTCGAGACTCGCGAAGTCTGAGCCACATTGCTGAAAGACGAACGGCTGAGAGCGGATTGCCTCTAAACCCTGTGGCCAGATTCTTTCTGGCAGAATGAGGTGGGCCTGTTGCCGCATCCTCTTCGAACTCTCTCCTGGTCCTGCTGATCCTGGCAGTCGTCGCCCCCTTCTCCATTGTGACGAAGGGTCTGTACCATAGGTTGACAAGTTAGAAGACCATGATCAGCGCAATGCATTGGACACTTCCAGCTTCATAGGGCAACCTGGCAACAACTGAAACAAACATACAATCTGCCGCCTACGCTCGTCGAGTAGGAGCCGTTGCCCAGACTGACGTTTGTGAGCCACTGCACCTCCGCCTCGGATAGGGCCGTCATCAAAGATACGCAGAATGCACGGAAGGGGAGGCCAGGGAGGTAGACCACGACAACGAATCAGGCATGGGCAGGGGTCAGAGAGAGGAGTGTTGGCAATCCACCCCCGCCCGCGCTTCAACGCTATGTGTAAGCACAGGTGGCAGTCTGCAAGCTCATCTGGGGCAGCTGATGGTCCATCCAGTTAAGAGACAGAGAGAGAGAGAGCGAGAGGTAGAGAGAAAGAGAGGGGGGGATGCGAGAAGATCCCCTGTTGAGGCGCCGTTGATGGGAGGGGCCCTGTTTGCCCCTCCAGGGCAGTCCCAACCCTCCTCCTCCTCCTCCTCCTCCTCCTCCTCCTCCTCCTCCTCCTCCTCCTCCTCCTCCTCCTCCTCCTCCTCAACACACCTTCATCCTTCTCCCCCTGCCCCGCCCCCTCCACCTCTTCCTCCCTCCTCCTCCCTCGTCTCTCCTCCCTCCTCCTCCCACTTCCCTCCTCTTCCTCCTCCTCCTCCTCCTCTTCTTCCTCCGTCTCCCTTTCCTCCTCCTCCTCCTCCTCCTCCTCCCTCCTCCTTCCTCCTCGTCCCCTTCCCCCGCTCCTCCTCCCCACCCTCCCTCCCTCCCTTCCTCCTCCTCCTGCTCCTCCTCCTTCTCCTCCTCCCTCCTCTTTCCTCCCTCCTCCCCCCTCATTTCTCCTCCTCCTCCTCCTCCTCCTCCTCCTCCATTCCTGTTCCTTATAGAGAACTCATCCCAGTCGCACCCTGAGGCCGTCGAAGGGCGGGCCTGGCGTTCTGCCTGAGACTTCTTCACAATGTATGACCCTAGCGCTGAAAAATTGACAAGCATTTCACACATGGAGGGCGGCCGGTTTTCCAACTGCGGCTCTCGCCTGAGCACCGCGCACATTCGTTTTAAACATGTTCAAGAGCTTCACGGATTGAAGGTGGGTGGCTCTTGAAATGTCGCTCTCTTGCCTTAGAGCCGCACACATCAGTTTTACACATTTGGCACGGGCTTGAGGATTGAGGGCGGGTGGTTTTCAAAATGTGGCTCTTGCCTTTGCGCCGCGCGTACTAGTTTGACAATGTTGCAAGAGTTTCACGGATTGAATGCGATTCGTATTCAAAATGTGGCTCTTGCCTTAACGCCGCGCACATTCGTTTTAAACATTTGACTCTCATGGTCAACGTCGCAGAAATGGTGTCATGGAAGGGTTCAGGATTGTCGAGGCACAACAGTTACGTTGGTTCGCGGTGTTGAGCTCCCAGCAATGGTTTGCTGGCGCGATTCAGAGCCGCAAAAACGTAACAGTCAGGCTGATCTGCGGCATTGGAGCCCAGAGAACTGTGTTTTGACACGCTTCAAGATGGTCACACGGTTGCCCTGACCCCTCTGTGGAAATGACCCATTGTCGGGGGCTGTGACGAGGGATCTTGGAGGGAGGGTGGATTTCAACATCGTTGATGACTCTTGGGTCTGCACTGGTCCTTCTCCTCCTCCTCCTCCTCCTTCTCCTCTTCCGCCTCCTTCTTCATTCTCTCTCCTCCCTCTTCCCTCCTATGCCCCTCCTCCACCTCCTCAGTCGGGAAGGGCGCACGCAAGACACTCTCTAGGGCGCCGCGGCCGACCCCGCCTGGTAGACCATGGCCAGCACGAAGCGCGCCGGCCACTGAACGTTCCTGCACCGGGGTTCCTGCGGGCAGTGCCCCGCCGCGCTTCGCCGCTGCCAGGGGGGCTTCTCCGACCCGTCTCCTCTGGGCGTCGTTTGACCAGTCCCTGTCCCACCGGCGAAGCCTGGGCACCCCCTGGGCGGGAATGCATGCCTGTTACTTCGGCTGTCGCGGAATGCTTCCCTACCTGAGAGGGTGGGCCGGTAGGGCTGAGATACCATGGCCCACTTGGGATGGGTCTGATCTCTTAGAACTGGCGGGTCTGGAAGACGTATCGGGCGTTGCGGCCGTGTCAGAACGCACGAAAACGGTCCGAAAGCGTTCTCGAACGCTGCGGAATGGTTTATCGTCATCCTGGCGGCCCCGAGCGGTGTTGTCACGCGGCTCAGCACGTAGATTCGAAGCACGCGTCTGTTTCTATACAGTAGCCAAAGCGAAGACACACGTGTTGATCCGACACGTAGCGTTTCGCCCACGCTTTGACCATGGGACGTGTTGGGTTTCACTCCGGGCGTCTCCGGGCAGCTAAGACATTAACCCTAGACGTGCCTTGCCATATCCAGCTGGTCCATCAGCCGCGGTATCCTCCAATGGCCTCCTCGAGCTGCTGCCTTTCTCCCTTCATCATCCGATGTCCTGCCTCGTCCTTCTTGCCCCTCGCGGATGGAGCCTCTCCTCCTCTCCCTGCTGCTGCTGGCGATGATGGCGGCGGGTATGATGGGGAGGAGGAGGCGGATGAGGAAAAAAAGGAATAGGAGGAGGAGGAGGAGGAGGAGGAGGAGGAGGAGGAGGAGGAGGAGGAGGAGGAGGAGGAGGAGGAGGAGGAGGAGGAGGAGGACAAGGAGGAGGACCAATGCAAACCCAATATTCATCAACGATGTTGGAACAAACCCTCCTTCCGGACTCCCTCTTCATAGGCCCCTACAAGAATTCATTTCCGGGCGCTGCCTCGTTGGGAGACAACCGTTCGAAGACTTTAAAACATGCCGAAACACAATTCTCGGGACTCCAATGCCGCAAATCAGCCTGACTGTCGCGTCTTGACGATCCTGAGTCGTGCCGGAACACCATTCTTGCGACTTGAGCGCCGCGAGTCAATGCATAATCATTCCGAAACGTAATTTATGGTGTGCTGGCCGTGGGAACCCGCAAAACTTTTGGACCGAACGTGCGCGGCGGTAAAGCGACAGCCACGTTTTGGGAACGTGCCGCCCTCGATCCGTGAAGCTCCTGCAATTGAGAGTTAGCCTGGCGAAGAACCCAGCCATGCGCAGCTGCGAATGCCGCATCTGTACGTATCGTCTTCGGTGGAGCTTCGCACGGGGGCACGAACCGTGTGAGGGGTGCGCCGCAGTGGAGTGGCGGCGGCGCGCGGGCGCTGCTACTGGGGCTTTCGGTGGAGCTCCCTATGAGGCCTTCGGCGCGGCTCCCTCTGTCCGCGATCTGTTTGATAGGGGGTAGCGAGACAAGCCAGACCGCCCAGCATTGTCCTTCCCTTCTGTTTCCCACTCTGTGCCCGTCCGCTCCAAGCCTAAGGCTGCGGGCGCCGCGCGGCGCAGAGCCCCCGCGACGCGCGCCGGTCGCCCCGGCGGGGTCCCAGCGACGCGCGCGGGTCGCCCGCCGCGCGGAGCAAAGAGAACTAGCTCGCCGGTCGAACGCGGGCAAGTCTCTGGCTGCTAGGCAGAGCGACGACAGGCGAGCGAGGCGCTGGGCAAAGCGCAGCGTGGAGTTCCCGCGACGCGCGCTGGTCGCTCCGAGAGGGCCCAAGCGACGCGCGCGGGTCGTCCGCGGCGCGGGGCCAAACAGTCAGACCGTCGAGAGAGGGCGGGGCTCGGGCGGGCCGCTCCCCCGGTCAGGCCTCGCGGATAAACTCGGTGGAGCCCAACTCCCTGGCAAGGGCCGTCGCCTCCCTCCGGCGTCGCATCGTGCACGCCGCAAATTGCTCTAGTTGCTTGCGTGAACCCTCCGGCGGCCCTGCCAGGCAGGAGGAATTCGATCCGCGGCGCCCGCATGAGCAGGAGGTCCTCGTGGCGCGTGGCGCGCGAGAGCAGCGCGTGGAGCTCCAGCCACCAGTCGTCGTCCTCCTTCATGCCGTGCCCGACCTCGTGGCTGTCGCAGTCCAGGATCCCGCCTGGGCGACGTCGGCCGAGGGAGCGGCGCGCCGGACAGCCGACGGCCCAGGGCGAGAGCCTACAGGACCGAGAGAAGGTCTGGCTGCGGACCGCTCGCGCCCAGGCTATGGGGCCAAGATGCGCGTGAAAGGTGTGTTCCCTGTGAGGCCACGAAACGCTGCGCTGGGCGCAGGAATCGCATGCGACTTCCGCCGCTGGGGCCCGCTGTGCTGGGCGCAAGATACGCATACGAGTTCCGCCACAGGGACCCCCTATGGAGCCACGAAACACCGCACTGGGCGCAGGAACCGAATGCGAGTTCCGCAACAAGGACCTTCGGTGGAGCTCCCTATGGAGCCACGAAGCGCTGTGCTGGGCGCATGAACCGCATGCGAGTTCCGCTACTGGGACCTTCGGTGGAGCTCCCTATGGGGCCACGACGCGCTGTACTGGGCGCGGGAAGCGCATGCGGGTTCCGCCACGGGGACCTTCGGTGGGGTTCCCTATGGGGCCACGAAGCGCTGTACTGGGCGCAGGAAGCGAATGCGAGCTCCGCAGCTGGGACCTTCGGTGGCCCTATGGGGCCACAAAGCGCTGCACTGGGCGCAGGAAGCGAATGCGACTTCCGCCACTAGGACCTTCGGTGTGGCTCCCCATGGGGCCACGAAACATTGCACTGGGGGCAAGAAGCGCATGCGAGATCAGCTGGTGGGACCTTCGGGGGAGCTCCCTATGGGGCGACGGAGTACACTGGGCGCAGGAACTGCATGCGAGTTCTGCCGCTGGGACCTTCGGTGGGGTCCCTTTGGGACCACGAAGCGCTGTACTGTGCGATAGAGACGCATGGATGATGCTGCTGATGATGATGATGATAATGATGATTATGCTGATGATGATGATGATGATGATGATGATGATGATGATGAGTTGTGGTGATGCTGATGATGATGCTGATGCCGATGATGATGGGAAGGGACTAGTGGCAGCGTAAAGGCGGGAGACGGGAGGACGCGGGGCGCTGTCTCTTCAAAACGAAAACCCTACACCACAGGATGGTCGGGAAAAACGAATGTGCGCGGCGCTGAGGCGAGATCCGCATTTTGAAAACGAGCCGCCCTCAATCCGTGAAGCCCTGGCGATTTTTTCCGGCCTCAATCCGTGAAACCCTTGCGTTTTTGGTTGTTGCTCTTATTCTTCTTCCCTTAAATGTATATGTAATGATACCACCTATATATATACACACGTATAAAACGCCCGCCCTGAATCCGTGAAAACATTGCAACTTGTTAAAACGAATGTGCGCGGCCCTTAGGTGAGAACCCCATGTTGAAAACGACCCGCCCTCCATTGGTGGAGTTTTTGTCAACGCTTAGGATTCAGGGTTACGAGTGGTGAAGAAGTCTCAGCAGAAACGCCCAGCCCGGCCTAAAAACTGGCCTCGGAGTGCGACAAGGGGAGCTTATCTATTTGGAAAATGAGTGGAGGAGGAAAAGGAATAGGAGGAGGACGAGGAGGAACGAACGTGCCCTTGCAGGAGGAGGAAGAGGAAGAGGAGGAGAAAACGGAGAAGGAGGGGGAGTCGGAAGAGTCGGGGTGACTGCGCATGTCTCCAAAAGCACGGGGCCCACGCGCGGCGCGCCGGCGCGCCCGCCGCGCGAGACCGCCAGAGGACGACAAAGAAACCCGGCTTCGCAGATGCACCAGCTGGAGCCGGCCAACGAATTGCCGCACAGGTGCGGCACGCGTTCTTGCCAGGCCAATTGAAAGTGTGACAGATCTTGTACTGCCTATTTGCCTCCATGCTGCCCTGCGGCACTCCCGCAGCCGCCATGGCGTTCCCCAACACTGAGTGCGAAGTGAGTGCAGGCGGTCAACCCGCAAAGAGAAACTGCTTCAGGATCGATGGGGGCCTACCCCGCTGAGGCAGTGACATAATCACAAGTTTGGCCTTGAGCTAACATGGCTACGGATGGTGATGGCGATGGTGGTGATGATGATGATGATGGTGATGATGATGACGATGATAGTAATGATGCGGATGGTGATGGTACTGCTGCTGATGGTATTGGTGGTGATGATGGTGACGGTGATGATGATGATGATGATGATGATGATGATGATGATGATAACGATGGTTTTGATAATGATGATGGTGGTGATGGTGATCATGATGCTGATGATGATGATGATGACGATGCTGCTGCTGCTGCTGCTGATGATGATGATGGTGGTGACGACGACGATGATGCTGCTGAGCAGGAGGAGGAGGAGGAGGAGGAGAAAGCTGCGGAGGAGGAGAAAGCTGAGGAAGAGGAGGAGGAGGAGAAGGGGGAGGAGGAGGATGAGGACCTGTGTAAACCCAAGAGTCATCAATGGAATAAGCCCTCCTTCCAAACTCCCTCTTCATAGGCCCCTGCAACGGTTCATTTCCGCTGAGGGAATGGCCTCGTTGGCAGGCAACTGTTTGAAGACCCTGAAGCATGCCATAACATTATTTTCGGGACTGCAACGCCACGGGTTAATTAGACCGTTACGTCCTGATGATCCTGAATCGTGCCAGGACGCCATTCCTAGGATTTCAACACCGCGAACTGTTGCACCCTCATGGTCCAAATCTTGCCAATACGCAATGTCTGGTACGTTGATCTTGTGGAACCCGTGAAATCCTTGTACATGTTTGGATCGAATGTGCGCGGCGCTACGGCGAGAACCACATTGTGAAAAGGAGCCGCCCTCAATCCGTGAAACATTTGCAGATGTCTAAAACGAGTGTGCACGGCGCTGCAGCGAGAATCTCATCTTGAAATGGATTCGCCCTCAATCCGTGAAATTCTTGCAAATGTTCAAAACAAATGTGCGCGAAGCTAAGGCGAGAACCACATTTTGAAAGCCACCCGCCCTCAATCTGGGAAGCTTTTGCAAATGTTGAAGAAAGATGTGCGCGGCGCTACATTTTGGAAACCAGCCGCCCTCAATCCGTGAAGCTCTTGTAATGTTTTAAGACGGGTGTGCGCGGCGCTAAAGCGAAAACCACACTCTGAAAACCACCCGCCCTCGTCTGTGAAACTCTTGCCAGCTTCTACGCTTCAGGGTCACGAGTGGTGAAGAAACCTCAGGAGACACGCCCGGCCCGGCCTCGCCCGGCCCGGCCTAAAAACTGGCCTCGGGGTGCGACAGGGATAATTTCTTTATAATGAAAACGATAATGAAAACGAGTGGAGGAGGAGGAGGAGGAGGAGGAGGAGGAGGAGGAGGAGGAGCAGGAGGAGGAGGAGGAAGAGGTCCCTCACTCACTCTCCCGTCCTCGCCTCGACCCGCCCCCCCTCTCCCCCCCCAGGGGCCCTCCCCGTGCGCGGCAAACTGCAGGTACCCGAAGTTGTCCGGGTTGTGCATGTACTGGTGCCCCCCGAGGTGCTGCGACGCTGCCTCGCGCGCCGATGGAGGCCCCGCCGCGCCCCCGAGCCCGCTCGCGCCTCGCCGCGGGAGTGGCCCCAGGCAGGGGGTGACCCCTGGGTGCGCGGCCTGGCGACCGCGGCCTGCGACGCGGCAGCAACGGCCCGCGCGCCCGGGGTTGGGCCGGTGGGCGTCGGTCTCGGCCGCTTTCGCTTCGGCCTCCTCTTAAGCGCGAGCAAACCTGAAGCGGACGAATCCACGCGGGCGAAAGGAAAGCCGGAAGAAGTGAAACGGACTCCCTCCCCCCTGGCGGGGTCCTCGCCGCCACGGGTCGGATCCGCTTCTGGATCCTGGTCAGGGCGCGCTCCAGCAGAGGTCTGGGGGCAGATGTTTGAAGAGATCCGCACGCAGAACGTGCAGAGGCCAAGTGCTGAGCACTTGTGTACAGGGCCATCGTGGCGAGCCTCACCAGAGCGGTGTTGGAAACCATGCGGCCACGTGTGCAAATCTGACACTCGCCCAGGCTGGCCACGTCATGTGAATCCAACCTGCTGGTAATTCTCGAATCCGCTCGTGTCTCGTCGTCTCTCTCTCTCTGGCACATGCTTCTCCTTCCTACTCAGCTCAAGCAATTTTCTGTGAACTCCATGTCCGTCTCCGATACCGCTCGCCTCTCATCCCACATGTTCGTTCACGCCCTGGTGCGCAGGAAACTTGATCAGCCTTCGTTCCCGCTTCTCCAGCCAATCCCCATTGGGGTTGGGCCAATGACGACCTTTACTGCCAAACATGCACATCGATCCATGACCCCGCCGTTGATTTGCTGCACGGAGGGGCTCTTGTAAAGCATGACGAAGCTGGCCCCCACGCTGCTGCAGTTCGAAGTGGGCAATCCAGAATGATCTGGGGACGAATCGTCCATGAGCGGGGCTGTGGGAACCAATGGCTCAGGGGAAACCGTGTAAGTAGATCCAAGACTCGATTAGAACGCAGAAGTGTGCCCCCGCTGGCTGCCGCGTTCTTTGGCACGGAAGGGAGGAGGGTGGAGGAGGTAGCGTGAGCGGGCACAAATATGCGTACATGGCAGTGCGGACACATCACCCCTGGCCCGACTGCTGGCGATAAGCCGCAGGCGAATTGGCTACAAAAAGATAGCTATGCTCCCCCCGACACCTTACACATCGTTTAGTCAGAATGTGGTCCACCAGTTCCAGGCCCCACGACGGCTCCGAGAGAAACCCCTGGGGAATGATCGGGATCTCGGGATGAAGCTGGCACTCCCCATGTTGGCTCCCCTGAAATTGGCACACCGGAGATGGGTATATAAAAAAGTGGCAATAAACCCAACAGCAAAGGTTGAACCAAACCGACAGCGGCCGCCGCTGGGCAGAGGCCACTCGGGGCCCCAAATGGACAACGTCCGCGGCAACGCGGGCAGCGAGCCCCGTCTAGACTGGGCAAGGACTGCTGTCGGCTTTCGTCCCGATTCTTCCCCTACCCATCTCGGCCGCGCCGATCGAAAGAACAGCACGGGTGAGCAACCCAGAGATCCGATGTCGTGATTTTTCAATGCGGCGTCCCCAGAAGGCTCGCCCCATTCCCCAGGCCCGGTTTTTCATCCTGAAGCGTTTTTTAACGGTCCCGGGGCCTGGTGAGGGCCCCTAGAGACCGAAAACCGCGAAAAAACTCCGTCTTGATTTTTTCAAGACGTTGGATCTCTGGGGACGTGTAAGTCCGCCGGGGGGGGGGCGCTCCCCGGAAGAGCCGGGCTGAGAGCAGGCAGTGCGCTCTGCCGGGCCGGCCAGGGCCCGCCGGCCCTGCGGCGCGTGCGCCCGCGCTGGCGCCGAGGGAGGCGGCCTGCGCTCCACGCCCGCAGCCTCGGCAGGGCACCAGGGCGCCCCCGCGGGGGCGCTGCGCCGAGCGGATTGCCCACGCGGCCTCTGCGCCCACAGGGCGTGGCGGTCGTCCGCGTGCCACCTCATGGCCGCGGCCACCTCGTGCCTCGTGCCTGCCCCATGCTATCTGGCCTCTATCTGCGATCGGGGGTCGATGCGTCCCCACCTGGTCCCTCCCCCCCTCCTTCTCCTCCTCCTCCTCCTCCTCCTCCTCCTCCTCCTTCTCCTCCTCCTCCTCCCCCTCCTCCCCCTCCTCGCCGTCCTCCTCCTTCTCCTCCTCCTCCTCCTCCTCCGCCTCCTCCTCCTCCCCCTCTTCCTCTTCCTCCTCCTCCTTCCCGTCCTCCCTTTCCTCCTCCTGGCCCGCCGTTCTACCCTCGCAAGTGCCCCCCCCCCACGACCCCGACGTGTTTCACGAGAGTGATAGGCAACGAGAAGGGGACCGGTTCAGGTGGGGGAAACATCGACCTGGAATCGGCGATACATCGCCGCTATATTTCGGCGATCGGCCCCCGATAGCGAACCCGCACGTTCCTGGGCGGGGTGGGCTATCTGGCCTCTATCAACGATCGGGGGTCGATGCGTCCCCACCTGGCCCCTCCCCCTCCTCCTCCTCCTCCTTCTCCTCCTCTTCATTATCCTCCTTCTCCTCCTCCCATTCCTTCTCCTGGTCCGCCGTTCTACCCCCGTCAGTGGCCCACCCCACCACCCCGACGTGCCTCACGAGAGTGAAAGGCAACCCCCTCCTCTCCTCCTCCTCCTCCTCCTCCTCCTCCCCTCCTCCTCCCTCCCCCCTGGCCCCTCTCCCTCCTCCTCCTCCCCTCCTCCTCCTCCTCCTCCTCCTCCTCCTCCTCCTCCCCTCCGAACGTCGCCTTGAGACGTGTCTCACGAGCGCCCCTCCCGACCCGTCCGCCGCTCCCCCCCCCCCCCCCCGTCCCCCCGCTCGGGGACCGCGCGCGTGGGACGCGGCTCAGGGCGCGGGGGCGGCTTCCTTCGAGAAGGGAGGGGGAGCAGGAGGAAGGAGGAGGAGGAGGAGGAGGAGGAGGAAGAGGAGGAGGAGGAGGACGAGGAGGAGGAGGAGGAGGAGGAGGAGGAGAGGAGGAGGAGGAGGGATTATGATGATGGACGAGGAGTGGAGGAGGAGGAGGAGGAGGAAGGAGGAGGAGGAGGAGGACGAGGAGGAGGGACCACTGTGAACCCAAGGCGCATCATTGATATTGCAATACACCCTCCTTCCAAACTTCTTCTTCAAGAGGTCCATGCAAGAAATGTTTATTTGTCACTGCTGGAGATGCATCGTTGGAAGACAACCGTCTGATAATCGAAAGTGCGCCAGTGGATCTCCCTGAATACACTAAAAGAGGGGGGTCCAGAACCCCCCCCCCCTCCCTCCCTTCAAAGGGGGGGGGGGTCCGGACCCCCCCCCCCCCCTCCCCCCTTCCCCCCCTTGGCGCTGGAAAGGGGAGGGGGTTCGGATCCCCCCCCTCGTGTAGGGAGTACGGAGTTGGGAGTAGGGAGTGGTGAGTAGTGAGTAGTGAGTTAGTGCGTGCTAGTGCGTAGTGAGTAGTGAGTATTGGGTAGTGAGTGGTGGGTAGTGAGTGGCGAGTAGGGAGTAGGGAGTGGGGAGTACTGAGTAGTGAATAGTGAGTAGTGTGTACTGATAAATGAGTAGTGAGTGGCGAGTAATGAGTAGTGAATAGTGAGTAGCGAGTAGTGAGTACTGAGTAGGGCGTAATGGGTGGGTGATGAGTAGTGGGTAGTGAGTAGTGGGTGGCGAGTAGTGATGAGTGAGTAGTTAGTGGGTAGCGCGTAGTGCGTAGTGCGTAGTGAGTAGTGAGTAGTAAATAGTGAATAGTGAGTAGTGAGTAGCGAGTAGTTGGTAGTGAATAGTGAGTAGTGAGTAGTGAATAGTGAGTAGTACGTAGTGCGTAGTCAGTAGTGAGTAGTGATGAATAGAGAGTAATGGGTAGTGGCAGTGGGTAGTGAGTAGTGAGTAGCGAGTAGGGAGTAGCGTGTAGTGAGGAGCGAGTAGGGCGTAGTGAGTAGTGAGTAGAGAGTAATCAGTAGTGAGTAGTGGGTAGTGATTAGTGAGTAACGAGTAGGGAGTAGCGAGTACTGAATAGTGAGTACTGAATAGGGAGTACGGAGTAGTAAGCAATGAGTAGTACGAAGTGGGTAGCGGATAGTGGGTAGTGAGTAGCGATTGGTGAGTAGTGGGTAGTGGGTAGTGGGTAGTGACTAGTGACTAGTGAATTGTGACTAGAGACTATGTAGTGACTAGTGAGTAGGGAGTAGTAAGTAGTGAGTAGTGAATAGTGAGCAGCGGGGAGTGAGTAGTGAGTATTGAGTAGCGAGTATGGGAGTAGCGAGTAGTACGTACTGAGTACTGTGTAGTCGGTACTGTGTAGGGAGTAGGGAGTAGCGAGTAGCGAGTAGTGTGTAGTGAGTAGTGATTTGTGAACAATGAATAGCTAGTAGTGAGTAGTGAACAGTGGATAGTGAGTAGTGGGTAATGAGTAGTGATTAGTGAGTAGTGAGTAGGGAGTAGTGCTTAGTGAGTAGTGACTATTGAATAGTGTGTAGTGAGGAATGAGTAGTGAGTAGGGAGGAGGGAGTAGTGAGTAGGGAGTAGTGAGTAGCGAGTAGTGGGTGGTGGGTAGTGAGTAGTTAGTGAGTAGTGAGTCGTGAGTAGTGAGTAGGGGGTAGTGAGAAGTGAGTAACAAATAACGAGTAGTCAGTAGTGGGTAGTGAGTAATGAGTAGTCTTTGGGGCTGGGATTAGTGGTTGGGGTTAGGATTAAGGGTTTGGGTTAGGGTGAGGACTAGGGGTAGGGGTGGCGGGGGTCGGGTTCCGGAGTCAGGGGGCGGCGTGGCGAAAGGGGGGGGAGGGGGGGTGGGGGTCGGACCCCCCCCCCCTTTTGAAAGGGGGGGAGGGGGGGGGTCCCCGACGACGGATCGGGGAAAGGGTGGGGGGGGGGGGGTCCCCGACGACGGATCGGGGAAGGGGGGGGGTCCTACCCCCCCCCCCCCCCCCCTTGGGGAGATCCAGCGGGGCACCCTCCTGATAATCCTCAATCGTGTCAAAACACCGCACCTTGCACGCCAACGCCGCGAATCAGCTTTACTGATGCTTCCTGACGATCCTGCACCGTGCCAGAACACATTACTCGAACTTCAACACCGTGGATCAACGTGACCGCTGCCTTCCGACAATCCTAAACCGTGCCGGATCACCACTTCTAGGACGTCAACCATAATTACCCATTCAACGATTGTAGGCTTCTAAAACGAATTTGGGCGGCGCTGACGCGAGAACCGCATTCTAAAAAGGAACTGCCCTCCATCCGCGAAGCTGTTGCAAGCTGCTAAATCGAAACAGCGCGGCGCTCTAAAGCTCGAGCCGCATGTTGAAAACCACCCGCCTTCCATCCGCGAAACTCTTGCAAACAGTTATCAACAAAAACGTTCGGCGCAAAGGCGATAATCACATTTTGAAAACGACCCGCCCTCCGTCCGTGAAGTCCTTCTGGTTCTCGAGCTTCAGAACTAGGAGTGGTTGAGAAATCTCAGACGAAACGCCCAGCCCGCCCTACCAAAACGTCTCGGAGTGCGGCAGGGAGGAGCTGCTGAGAAGGAAACATCATGGATGAGGCGGAGGAGGAAGGAAGCATGGAGGGAGGGAGGGAGGGAGGGAGGGAGAGAGTAACGTCAAGGAGGGACGGAGGGAGAGAGGGAGGGAGAGAGGGAGGAAGGGGAGATTGATGCAGGGCGGGAGGAGTGAGGAGAGGAGGCCGGTCCTCCGCTTCCGCCACGGCCTCCGCCGCGGGCGCCTCCGCCGCGGGCGCCTCCGCCGCGGGCGCCCCCGCCTCCGCTGGGGGCGCGGGCGCGTCCGGCATCGCCGCGGTCGCGTCCCGCAGCGCCTCGAAGCTCAGGACCGCGCCTCGCGGCGGCGCGCAAAGGGGAAGGCCCTTCTGGTAGGAACGAACCACAGCAGCACCACCACCACCGGCGAGAGAAGTCAATGGTGGTCCTCCTGGCGGTGTGGTCACCCCTTGGCGCGCTCGAGACGCTCCCTACAGTCGGACCTGGGGCAGAATAGCATCCTTCAAGAACATGAGACCCTCCGCCGGCCAAACTGGAGAGCATCCAAGGGTACCCTCCCCAGGATGCACAAGCACGTCCAACAAACACGGAGAACACCCTCCCCGAGCCGCCCTCGATCTTCTACCTCGGTCCGACTCTATCCACAGCTCGGGGAGGCATCGTGGACATCCTCGGCTGGTGGTGGTGGTGTCGCTCTTCTAAGGAGGAGGAGGAGGAGGAGGAGGAGGAGGAGGAGGAGGAGGAGGAGGAGGAGGAGGAGGAGGAGGAGGAAGAGGAGGAGGAGGAGGAGGAGGAGGAGGAGGGAGAACGGGACGCCGTCGATTCTGAGGACGCCGTGGGCCGTCGGGCCGTCGAGATCGCCGCTCGAGGAGCTGCTCTGCGGGCGCCTCTCGCCTCGGCTGGACGGGCTGGGCCCTGGGACGGCTGGGCCCTGGGGGGGGGGCCTCCGTGAGCGGGCGAGGGGGATGGCCGTCTGAGAGGGCGGGGGCGCTCCGAGGGGCCCTCCTCTCTTCCAAGAAGCCCTCTCGGAAACCTGCGACCGCTCCTGAGAAGCCACCTGCCGGCTCAGAATGCCAACCTCCTTGCCCCACCCCCTCTCGTGCGCCCTGCCGAGCCTCCCTCGAAGTCCCTCAGCGCGGCCTCGGCCGCCGTCAGCGCCTTCTTCGCCTTCTCGATGGCAGGGTCGGAGTTGTCCGAGGCCTTGGAGGCCGCGGCGAGCGCTTTCTTCGCCTCGACTTCGCTGTCCTGCGCGTCCTCTCGAGCAGGCGGGCCCGAAAAAGCGGGGCGACGGAGGGGAAGAGCGACGAAGACCTTCTGGGGCCCCGCCCCTCGATTCTCCCGACGTCTTGTGCGAGGGCGGAGGCTCGCAGAAGGGTTTGGGATTAGAGTTGTGGATGCCACGACAATGGAAACCCTAACAGTCCTATCATTGAATTTAAATTGTGTTTAACATGTAGGATAATGTTCTAAACATGTTTTAAGCATGTCTTTTACATGCTTAAAATATGTTTAACACCTGTTTTGTAGACATTTGGAAAGTATTTGGCAGCATGCTTCCTCTCCATGGATTGTCCTCCACAAGATTAAAGGCGGATAGGGGGCCTGACCTAGTCGGGGCCCCAGAAGCCCGGTCAGGAGGGGGATGATGAGGCCACCTCCGCTCCAACTCGGACCCTGGACCCCTGCCGCGGTCCATCTGGCGCAATTTGTCACCCGGGATCCGTCTCTGACGGTTCGGGGCCCGATAAGGGCCCCCGGAGGCCAGAGAAGGGCAGAAAGCCTGCCCGAACCCGGAACCTCGAACCTGCCCGCCCGTCCTGCTGGCCGGAACCAGTGCTGGGCCACCTCAGACATCGAGGCGGCTTCAAGTTCTGGGGAGCTTGAGAACATGACCCTGGATGGGGTATTTAGCAAGGGGAGGATTAACCTTCCGACTGAGCTTGCCCAATCCCGCATCCTCCATCCTCCTCCCCCTCCTCATCCTCCTCCTCTTCCTCCAATCCCCCCTCAACCCGTGCCGATAGCACGTGCCCAATCCCCCCAGCTTGTCCCATCTAAAGTAAGGGCTCGCCTATCCCACCCCATCCAGGCCAGCCCAGTCCTTGAACGCGGCGGCGCAAGCGGCCAGGTCCTCGCGGCTGACTGGATAAAATGGCGGATCCAACTTGGAGGGGCTCGTCTGCGTCAACGTCTGCGAAGGCGACCGTAAGTCTCAAGGCTGCATCCCGTCTCGTCTCGTCCCGGGCTCGCTGGAAGTCACAAGGCTGCGTGCGTCTGCGTCCAGGCCTGGGGTTCGGGCTGCGAGGAGGCTCCACTGCCGTTGGGGGGGGGGGGGGAGCCGAAGGGCAGAACCTCAGGGCAGGGAGGAGGAGGAGGAGGAGGAGGAGAGAGGAAGGAGGAGGAGGAGGAGGAGGAGAGAGGAGAGGAGGGAGGAGAGGAGGAGAAGGAGGAGGAGGAGGAGGAGGAAGGAGGAGGGGAGGAGGAGGAGGAGGAGGAGGAGGAGGAGGAGGAGATGGGATGGAGCCTCCGACGGCCCCTGCAGCTGCCCTCCACTGCGGGCGCCACGGGCGTGGTCGGATGGTTCCAAGCTCCGCGGAGGCTGCCAGAAGTGAGCCTCGCTCGGACGTCCGCTCCCCGTGCGCTAGTGGGTCTCGTGCGTGTTCTGTTTTGGGGCTCTGCTCGATGATCGAGGATACTCCTCGATGTTCTCATTTGGTTTTGCTCGATGATCGAGGAGGCTCCTCGATGTTCTCCTTTAGTTTTGCTCGATGGTCGAGGATGCGCCTCGATGGTCCTCGCCGGGGAGAAGTGCTGCACACGCCCGAGCACTGCCAAGAGAGGCGGGCCTGGCCCACGGCGCCCGCAGCTCAGCTTTGTCCGCCACTCGGGAGCTGGCCCCTGGGCGCGGGGCTGGCCCTCCCGGAGCCTCCCTGGCCCCAGGAGTTGCAGCCGGGGCTCTGCTCCGCGGAGCCCTCGCGCGGCCGGGGCCCACGTGCCCCCCCCCCCCTTCCGAGGCCTGAGCTGGCGCTTCGGACGGCGAGTTGCCACGACACCCGGCCACATGACCCCGACGTGGCACCGAGCAGGAGCTCAGGCATCAGGCTCTTTGTCTCGAAGGCCGCTTTCAATAGATACAGACACACGCGTGCAATCACACGCTTTTACATTATTGGGCATACGCTCAGATGTCCGGACGCACATGGCAAACTACATTATTGTGGCAGCCCGTGCGTAGAAGTGGTTTGCTTGTCATGCTCGATCATGGGCGAAAGAAGCTGTGCCCTTAGGTCTTGCTCCACGGCGGCATGTCGACTTGGATCGGGGAGGGAGTTTCGCAAATCATGACCAGAGGCACGTGCGTGGACAAGATGAGGGGAGTCAGGGGATCATGACATTTGGGGAGATTTCATGGCCACAGCTATGATATCCCCCTCGCCAATCCTCACCTCCCTCCTGGGCGCCCTCGAGACTTGGCCAGCCCCAGCTCTCCAACCGGTCCTCCAGTGCGGCCTGGCTTGCAGCCTTCGCGGCCGTCGCGGCGGCGCGGTGCTCCTGGAAGGCAGGTCGGAACTTGCCCGTTCAGCTATGAAGTCTCTCTCTCTCTCTTTCTCTCCCTCTCTCTTCCTCCCTCTCTCTGTATGTATGTATGTACATATATTCACATATGTGTCAACACACATGTGTATATATACCTATATATAAGTCACTCTTAGTCAGTGTATATATATACACATATATATACATATATGCGTGAGAGAGAGAGAGAGAGAGAGAGTCACCGTGCAATGAGGGACAAGTTGTGTCCTCAGATTCCTTCGAATTCTCTGTGCTGATCAATGTACATCTTATTTAAGTGGCCCACCGCCCGAAGTTCTGGGCGCGTCCTGGAGCCCTGTTGGGCGCCTCCTTGGCCGTCCTGGAGACCCTGGAGGACGGCCAAAGAGGCCAAACTTGTCAAGCCTCATTGGGTTTTGTATGGCTTTCGCATTGCCGCCTTTTCGGTCTTACGAGCGTCCAAGACGGCCCACGAAGCCCCAGCTATGACCCCCAAACGGCCCACGAGCTCATAAAAGGGGCCCAAGAGGCCGCCAAGACGGCACCAAGAGGGGCCCAAGACAGGGAACCCGAACTGACAGTTCGAGCCCTCTGCCCCAAGATGGGTCCAATATCCCCGAGGTGATCCCAAGAGGCCCCATGTGGCTCCCAAGAGGCCCCGAGAGGCCCAAATCAGGCCCCAAGAGGACCCCCAGACGCACTGAGGCACCCCCAAATTGCCTCCAAGAGGCTTCCAATAGGCCTCCCAAGAAATCCCCGCATGCATCCAAAAGGCCTCTGACCTACAACTCAGGCGCGGTGGCGGGGCGGGATCGGCCGAACAGATGTGCGTGTGCAATCCTTCCGGGGGTGCCTCCTAGCTCAAGGAGGCTAGAAGCACTGGAGAAGACCGGTGTCTGGTCCATACTTCCTGGAAGGTGAGGCTCCCAGGCAGGCACGGGGTAGGGCAACAAGCAAGCAGACCTGACTGGGGTCTCTGACTGCTCCCTCCCGAGAAATCAAGCCCGCAGGATTTGCACTTCGTGGCGCCGCTGGGGTGTGGGGTGGGACGTAGGACGAAACGGTGCGTAGAAGTGAGACAGAGCATGCATCGTCCTCACTTCTCGCCGCTCCACCATGCCCTCCCCGAAAAGAAAAGGGTGCAAATGCGAGGACGGAGGATCAGGAGGACGGGGAAATCGAGGAATCAAGCAGGCGAGCGCCATCCCCGAGTCACACATACGTGCACGATACACGTTTCAAAACAAGCAACGGACAAACCATACTGGGCAGAGCATGGCCACCGATCGATTGGCTGACAGGGACCGACCGAGTGGGGCTCAGGGAACCCTCGAGGAGGAGGACGTCAACTCTGGCGCCGCGGCGATGGGGCCAGAAGACGGGGGCGGCGCCGAGCGGACGAGGTGGATGAGCTGATTGGGGCCCGACGGGGGCTACGAGTTCTTGCCAGGCGAGGGGGCCGGAGCAGACTCTCGATTGGGTCAGAGGGGGGGGGAGGGGGCGCCAGCGAGAACAGGCTGGCCGGGCCTCGCGGCGCCTCGGCGGCGGAAAGATTGCCGGCCCAGTGGCGAGAAGGGGCGGAGGTTTGGCCGGCCTGGGCTCGCATGGCGCGGGCGGGAAGGGGCGCGCCCCTGGGTGTCTAGGGAAGCGCCGCGAAAGATCCATCTGCTGCCGACCCGGCGGGATGGAGCGCGGTGTGGCATTCTGCATGCAAGGATGCGGTAGAATCAGTGTGTGCGTACGGCAGCTTCGTGTCATGACGACCTGGGCGTTGGTTTCTGACACCGCGGGGATCGTTCGACCTTGAACGATCGGCCGTTTCCGAAGCGTCAAATCGTCCAACGTCGACCGATTCTGGGTCGCCGGCGGCGTTCAACGTTGAACGCTGGCGGCAGGGTCGACGCCGGTCGACACGACGCGAACCTACCATATGCGAGAACGGGATTGTAGGACGAGGCCAGTGCCGGTGTGGTATACATGCTCGTCAGTTGTGGAATGTAATCGTGTAGGCATGGTATACGCACTGGCTGGGTTTGCATGGATGTGCTATGGGTGCCTGGGTGTGGTATAATGTGTTCACCGTACTGTAGGTGTGTTGACGTGGCACGACAGACGTACATGTAGAAGCGGACGGCGAGGATGCAACGATATCGGGCCAATCATTGAGCCAGCCTGATTCTATCAGTCAGCATCTGAACGGGAAGGCTTGGCTGACCTTCACGGGAACGTCCCTCTCGTGACCGCTCGATGCCCCCCTCCCTATCCGCTGCCTGATTCCCGGAGGACTCCCTCCTCTAGGACTCTCTCTCTCTCTCATTTTCCTCACCTCTCTCTCTCTCTCTACTCTAATGACGCCCTCCGCTCCCTCTGAGGCCTCCAAGGCCCCCTGTCTCTGAAAGCCCGCCACCCTCGAGGGACATCGGGGACATCTGCCTCCCGAGGCCCCCCTCTCTCTGAAAGCCCTCCGGGGACACCTGCCTCCGAGGGCCCCTCTCCCCAGACATCCGCCTGCCGCGGCCCCAGAGGTCCCGACCGCTTCTCCCTCGGGAGGTGTCTGATCACCGATTCGTTTTGACGGCTCTGGGGTCAGGATGTTCCAACCTACTTTAACATGAATCTCCAGAAAGAATTCCGAGCACCAAGAAAGCAGCGAAAGGGCCCTGGGAGACGCTCTCTCGACACTGTCTTCGACACTTTTTTCCTGGTGCTCGAAATTATTTCTGGGATGTGGTCCTTGAGTGCGATGGGGGCCACATGATTCTGTCGGCGGTGGGCAAACCTCCCTTTAGTAAACCTCCCCTGAGTGAAAACGGCCTGGGACCGGAACCGACGGACCTGGACCCGCAAAAAGGTCGGCCGTGACGCCCTCTCGCGAACCGAAAACGGCCAAGTCGCTAATCGACGTGTCAGGGTAGGAGGTCTATCAACCTCCGATCCTGGGGCCCGAACAGGGCCCCCGAGGGCCGAAGTCGAGCTGTTTCCCAGGGGCAGCTGGCAGCACAAGCTTGTGGATGCCACGACGATGGACACCCTAACAGTCCTATCGCTGATTTTAAGAATTTGTTTAAAATGTGGGAACCATGTTCTCAACATGTTTTAAACCTGTTTTCTTACATGTTTGGAACATGTTTAACACATGTTCTAGACATCTGGCAATCATTTGGCAACGTGCTTCCTCTCCAGTGATCGTCCTCCACGAGCACAGGGCGTCAGCAGGCATGGGACGGAGAGCCAGGGGGGCGAGCGAGGGGACGCCGCCACCCCCGGAACACAAGAGATTGTACAAGCGCGGGCGGCACTGTGCCGCACTGCCGCCCTCGGCGACAGGGCTGAGGGCCGGGATCGCGCAGCACCCGCCCGCGTGGGCGCCCTCCCCCTTCGCTCGGCCCCGCGCCCCTCCTCGAGCCTGGCCGCGGAGGCGCCGAGCTCCTCGCCGAGGCTGGCCACCTTGGCCGCGAGCTCCTGGGCGACCTGCCGGGGGAGGCGGCGACCGCGCGGGGTCGGGGGCTCTGCCCACGGCGCCCCTCCTGGCAGGACGCCAGCTGTTCGCGCAGAGAGCCGAAGCCTCACCCTCACGGTGAGCACCCCGACAGGCAAAGCCAGTTAGCCAACGCCCCCAAGGAAGGCCTCGAACCAGGCAGGGCTGTTCCGTAGACGCCCAAGGCCGTGCCGCAAGCGCCAATGATGGGAGTCCGGGTGGCTTTTCTCCCCTTGCACACGTGCACCTCACGGCCTGGGCCCAGGACTGGGCTCGCCAGGGTCGGTGCAGGTGCGCGGTTGACGTCGTCCCTTCAGCCTCCCCCACCGAGGTTTCGGCGCTCTGCAGAACCCTCGGGCGCACCACGTGGTGCAGAACCACGATGCGCATCTGTCGACGCTCGGGGCATCGGAGGGGCATGGTGGGACACGGGACCTGGGCCGCGAAACCGATCTAGGAGGGGAGGGAGCGAGAGCCGCCACGCGATCGACTTCCGATCGCACGCCGCTGCACACCCGCCGGCCTGTTGGAGCACCATGCCGTCGAAACTGCTCCTCTCGGCCAGTGGCTTCGTGCAGGTCGGGAGCAGCGCGCTGGCGAGCGAGGCCTCCAGGTCCAGCTTGGCCGTGACCTTCATCAGCGCTGCCGCGAGCGTCTTCGCCTCCTCGGGCTTGGGTGCCCAAAAAGGTGGTCCAGCTGAAAAGGGGTGGTGCAATAGATTTGGGGCAAGTGTACTGCAAATATATTACGCCAGAGAATTGTATTGCGTTGTATTGCAAGTAGCGTATTGCACGCGAACGTCCAGCAATGCATTTACGCCCTGGAATGTGCTGCACGCTCACATGTATTGCAACCCCACAAATCTATTGCACCAAATCTATTGCACCACCCCCTTGTCGCTAGACCCCCCCTTCTGGGTCAATCCGATTGGGGGGGTTGGAACGAATGACGGCGCAGACCGACATCGCGCGACGCCTTCGGAGCCCGCCTGGCCGGGACTGTCCACGACCCGATCGTGGCCCCGGTTCGGTTGGGCACTCTGCGGACCGATGACCTCGTCAGCCGCACCGACTCCGATCGATCGTTGGCAGGGCGATGGAGGCTGCCACCTGAAAAAGGTAGTAGGCCTTCAGACATCCTCCTGCTTCACGAGAGGTCCTCTCAGAAACTTCGAGGGAGCGCAATCTGCCGTCGCTCGACTGGGAACACATCACATCCGTCTCCCCTTCCGGGACACGGGGGGGGAGCCACCACCCTCCCAGAAACCAAGGGGGGGGGGTTCGAACCAGAGGGGGGGATGTCTTGAACTAGCTCCAACCACTAAGGCTGCATCCAACTCTTCAAAAATCCTACTACGCTCGATCGGGCTCTAACGGAATCCTACAAAGGCTCGATCCAGCTCCAATCGGTCCATACTAGGGCTGGGTCCAGCTCTCACAGATCCCACAACAACTCGACCTGGCTCTAATCGAATTCTGCTACTAGGGCTGGATCCAACTCTCATTGAATCCTACTCGGGCTCGGTCCAATCTAAATCGAATCGTACCATGGGCTGGATCCAACTCTCACAGGATCCTACTAGTGATCGGTCCAACATGAACAGGATCCTACCATGGCCTGGATGCAGCTCGAACGAAATCTTATCAGGGCTCGGTCCAGCTTTTACGACCCTACTAGGGCCCCGATCCAGCTTTACGATAATCCTGCAGGGATAGATCCCGCTCTCCCCAGTAGTATCCTACTAAGGCTGGATAGAAATGTAATAATCTCACCCCCCTCCACCCCATCTCCCCCCCTCTCCCGGTTTGAAGCCCCCCCCTTCCCCCGGTTCGAACAACCTTGGGGGGTGAGGGGGCCCCCGAATACGGGGCAAATCCCAACCGACTGGGCGACTTCTCAAGTGGCCAGAGAACCAGCCGGTACCAGTTACAACCAACCATTTTGCTCCGACAATGGGATTGAATGTGTAAATAATTTTGAGACGAGTTAGAAACCACGGCCCAACGGGCCAGAGGCGTGCTAAGATCTCCGGTAACTGCTAAATAATACTTCTACTTCGCGCGCGCGGGGCGGCCCCTGGGGGTCCCCGGACGAAAAGTACCCTGGGCGATCCCCGGCAGACTCGGGTCAGAGATGGTTTTCCTCCTGGGCGCCGCCCCCGTGGCCCTCCAGAGAGCCCCAAGAAGGGCCACGAGGCCGCCAAGAGCCCTCCAAGATTCTTCAAGCGTGCTCCGAGATGCCACACGATCGTTCCAAGACGCCCAAGATGGCCCCCAGACGCCCCAAGAGGCCTCCAAGAGCACTCCCCAGAGGGCCCCAAGAGGGAAAATTCATTACTTTTCCATAGGTTTTGGGCAGATTTTGGCGTGTCTATCTTTTCGGCTTCCCGACGCCCCAAGACGGCCCAAGAGGCCCCCAAGATCGCCCCAAGAGGGCCCAAGAAGCTCCCAAGAAGGCCCCAAGATGGCCCAAGAGGGCTCCAAGACGGCCCCAGAGGCATCCAAGACGGCCCAAGAGGGGCCCAAGAGGGCCCCAAGCGATGCCCCAAAGGGGGAACACAAAACAAAACTTCGAGCCCTCGGCCTTAAGAAGCCCCCAGGAGGCCTCAAGAGGCCCCTGAGAGGCCCCAAAAGCTCTCAAGAGGCCCCCAGGAGGCTCCCAAGCAACGCTGAAGAGGCCCCCCCTGCGGCCCCAAGAGGCTCAGTCATGCGAAATGGGCCGGCGGAATGAGCGAAGCGATTCAATAATTTTGAGACGAGTTAGAAACCACATGCCCTTCTTAAGCGTATACATTCAGTTTGAGAGACAGCATGAATGCCACGGTTGGAATTGATACCCGCTTACATTCTGACATCAGGGAGTGTTTTTGTTGAAATTGAACAACGGCCGCCAATCTTACTAGGGCTTCGCGGTTGTCGTATGAGAACTGGACAGGCGTCTCTCAACAGCCGTTCGACGAGCCGTGCAGTGTAGAAAAAACCACGCGCGCGCCTTTCAGTAGCTTGGCGTGCGCTTCTGGGGGGCCCCGCAGAGCCTCTCAGGAACAAGGGCCTGGAAACAGCCTTTGATGAACGAGTGGGTACATCTAAGGTTTCATGGACGGATCACGGATGGAGATGAGATCCCTCAGGAATCCTGCAAGCATCCTCAGACATCCTAGAGGGCTTTCTCGAGATACGTATGAGGCAATCTCAGGGGTCCTGGAAGAATGTCTCAAGACACCTGTAAGAATCCTTCCTGGATCCTGCAGGGATCTGTCTCTTAGGGATCCCAAAAGGATCTTTCAATGATCCTGGGGGGATCTCTCTGGAATGCTCGAAACATATCCCAAGGATCCTGTAAGGATCTCGCAAGGATCTCCCAGGGATCCTGTAAGGATCCCCCAGGGGTCCTGTGTTGATCCCTGAAGGATTCCGTAAGGATATGTTTAGGGTCCTGCAGGGATCTCGTCAGGATGGCGGAAGGATCTCGAAAGGATCCTGGATGGATATGCTCATAATCCTGTCAGTGTTTCTCAGGAGCCTTGAACGGATCTCCGAAGAATCCTGCGAAGATCTCGGAATCATCCTGCAACAATCTCCGAATAATCTCGGAATGATCTCCGACAGATCGAAACAATAGTCTCGCCACAATCCCACAATCATCCTTGACAACAATACCAAAGGAATCACGGAAAGAATGCCCCAGGAATCGTGGAAAGAATCTCGGAGAAATCCCACAATAATCTTGCGACAACTGTCGAAGGAATCCGGAAGGGTTGTCCCACGAATCCGGAAATAATGTTTCAATAATCCAAGCGGAATCCTTTCAGGAACTCCTCAGGAATCCTAAAAGGAATCCCTCGTGAATCCTGCAAGGATCCTGGGAACAATCCTTAAGGAATCTTGGGTGAACTCGTTCAGGAATCCCAGAAGAATCCTTCAGAAATCCTTGAATACTCCCAGAAGGAATATCCGAGGAACTTCTACATAATCTCGAAGCGTCTCTTGGGAGTCTCCTGCGAAACCCAAGAATTCCCCGAAGAATCGAGGGGAATCTTCAAGAATCTCTGAGAATCCTGCATGGGCCCCGGAGAACCATGAGGAATCTTTGGGAAAACCAGAGGACGCAAGAGGTGATTGAATAACCACCATTCAGCCTCTTTGAACAATCGTAAACATCGAAGATACGTCCCTGAATAAAAACCAAGGACACTCTGAAGAATCATGAACTACTTGGAAAATCTGCGAATCGCCACGGAGAGTATGTGAACAACCATAATATATCTCTGAGTAATCGCCCAGCATCCAGGAAGGAATCTCTGAATAATTTCCGAGGATTCCCGAACAATTGTTCTGCAATTTTTGAAAACTCCCGAAGACATCCCCGAGGAACCCCGAGGAATTTTTGAAGCGCGACGAATCCAGAATAATCGCCAAATAATCCCGAGGGATCTCTGGATAATCGCGACGAATACCTGAAACATCCGGAGGAACCTCCGAAGGACCACACAAACACTTTGAATAATCATGGTGCATGCTGAACATCACGGCAACATCTTTAGGATCTGTACACAATGACGAGGAATCATGGCACATCTCCAAGGCACCTTTCGGATCCCAGAAGAATCGCTGAGGATCCCAGAAGGATCTCATCCCAAGGAATATGGAGCAAACGCAACGAAGCCTTGATTCATCACGGAAAACACATGAATGACCACTAAGAAATTCTGAAGACTCGTAGGGCATCTCCGAAAAATCGTAAACATCCCTTAATAACCTCTGACGAATCCAAAGGAATCCGGAGGAATCTCCGAATCATCGCGGAAAACGGTATACATAGCCAACAAGAACCTCAAACACATCATTTTGCATCCTGGAACAAATACTTGCGTAATCTCTGAGGGGCCTGGGGAATCTCTCGGCAATTTATGAACAATCCCGGAAGAATCTCTGAGGAATCCCGAAGGATCCCTGAAGCGCGACGAATCCACAAGGGATTCCCTAAGGATTTGTTTTGCAAATCGCGGGGGATCTCAGAAGAATCCATAGGAACCTCTGAAGAACCCGAACAAACACGCTGAATAATCATAATGGATCCTGCAAATAACGGAATAATCGCGGGGAGCCGTAAACAATCACGACACATCATGACACATCTCTAAGGAAACCATTCGGGTTCTGGAGGAGTCTCTGAGGATTCCCGAGGAGTCTCTGAGGAACCCTGTGGAAAAGCAACCTCCGGGAATCTTTGAATAACCGTAAGGACTCAGTGAACAACCGCGACGGATTTCTCAATAATGGCGCATCTCTGATAAATCGCGAACATCTTGGAAGAATCTCTGACGAATCCACTGGAGTCCCGAAGACTCTCGAACAATCACGAACAATCAATACATAACCACGAAGGGCCCCAATAATCTTTGAAAGATCCAAAGGAATCTCGGAAGAATCCCTGAATAATCCTGAGCCACTTTGAAGAATCTGGAGGATTCCCGGGGAAATCCATAGGATTCCCCGAGGCATCTTGAAGAATTCCGGGGGAATCCTGAAGCGTCTCTGAAGAACCATGAGGAGTCCCTGAGGACTCCCTCAAGGAGTCTTGGAGACCGCTGGAACCCCAGAAAGGAATCTCTGAGGAATGATGCTTAGATATGAGAAGAATGTTTAAGGGATCCCTGAGGGATCTTCAAGGATCCTCAGGAATAGCAAAGGAATCCCTGGGAAATCTCGAAGAAAGCTCCAAAGAATCCCGAAGGAGCTGTCACAACGGTTGGAATTGGTACCGGCTGGCTGAGATTGGTATCGACATGGTTGGAATACGGCCCATTCGATCGCGATTCCGTCCTATTTTCGGGGTCCCTCCCTCCCTCGGTTCGAAGTGGTAAATTGTTTTGCACCCCCGCCCTCCGCGGTTCGAAGGGGGGGGGCTTGCCAGTAGCGGCAGACAGCGCTTCTTCGAAGTCTCCAGTCACTTCTGCCATCCCCCCCGCCCTCGCCCCACCCTTTTCTGCGCGCCGCTCAGATCGGCGGTCAGCGACGCGATCGCAAGCCCCCAAGACTATCCGCAGCTCAGCCTGACTCTGGCCCTGATTCAAGCAAGCCCGCTCCTTCCCAAACGTCGAGTGCTACGTGGGTCGAAGACCCGACCTGGCCTTCCGCCTCGACTCCAGCCGACTGGCGGGCCAGCGATGTTGGCCCGATCCTGGCCCTGATTCGACCGACCAGCATCATCCCGAAGCGCCGAGCGGCTCGGCGGGCCGAAAAACCAGTCGGCCGCCCCGTTTCCGATTCCGCCCGAGTGCCAGCGACGTGGGGAAGATCATCTGCAACCCATTCTTATCATGACATCATAACCCTGATTCAATTGGCCCGATACGATCTGAAATCCCGAGCGTTCCGTGGATCGAAGACCTGCCCAGCCGCCAGCTGTGTGATCGGGCTGCGATCAGCAATTCCAAAGTCGTTCTACCCCGATCCCCCTTTCTCACGTATCCCGTTCTTGACCCGGGCGGTGCGAGGACAGGGATAACTCGTTCCAGAGCGTTGAGAACGCTGTAAGAGCGTTGCGGGGCGCTCTGGAAGGGCCGCGGCGCTCGGTACATCCTCCAGAACCGCAGGATCTCGTCTGACTGCCCACCCCTCAAAGGCTATCATTTTGTGTTGCCTCCGCAAAACCTTCGCTGGCTTTCCTCCGTCGGCGCCATCCCCCCGAAGTTGCTTCCCGCAGGCTTCCACAGCCCCTCCGCCACAGCACAGAGGCCAACCCCTCGAGGCCCATCGAGGGCGAGTCCCTCAATTTTGGAACGCCCTGCGTCGTCTCGGCACTCCCCGTGGCCGCTCTCCCCCTGGCAGCGCTGGGGCCAGTTTGCCACCGCTATTCATACGACGAGAACGATGTCATGATAGCGCTGGCTCAGGATTTCCAGAATTTCCCAGATTTCCAGCGGCCCTCTTTTCTGGAGACCATGCGGAGTCGAAAGGAATATGGGAAATCTGGGGAATCCCGGAAACGTTGGAACGTATCAATATCATGGCATCTTTCTCCTCTGAAGTCAGCATGCGGTCCTTCGCGTCGGCGAAGCTGCCCTCGCGGAGCTTCCTCAGCTCGCCGTCGGTCACCTCCTCGAGCCTGGCCTTCAGCTGCTGCTTGTCCGAGGTGCCAGCCTCGAGCCGCGCTGCTGCTGCTCTTACATCCTCGCGCAAGCCCCCCTGCTTTCCTGCCGCGGCCTGCAAGTGCTGCTGATGTGGCTGCCGTTTCTGCTGCTCCACGTCCTTGTCCTCATCGTTCCCCTCCGGCTGCCGATGCTCGTCACCCCGCACCTCCTCCTCCTCCTCCTCCGCCTCCTCCTCCTCGTGTTGCTGCTCTTGCTGCTGCTGCTGCTCCTCTTCCTCCCCCTCCTCCTGTAGCACTGGATGGCCAGAGTCCGCGGGAAGACCCTGTGCATTGAATGCGACAGAAGCCATGAGGCGAACTGGCACACAGAAACACACAAGCGGTCTGAACAAGTCAGAAGATGGAGTGGTACATAATGGACACTGAAGCAGGAACGATTCCAGGGATCTCTCGGCAACCCAGTATACGTTCAAGTCCCTGCCTCTGTTGGTCCACGGAATCATGCCATTCACAATGTTGATCACACTTCGCTGCGCCCTTCATTCCACCTTCTACTACTCCTCCTCCTCCTCCTCCTCCTCCTCCTCCTCCTCCTCCTCTTCCTCTTATGTCTCCTCCTCCTCCTCCTCCTCCTCCCCTTCCGCCTCCTCTCATCCCTTGCCTCCTCCTTCTCCTCCTGCTGCTGGTGCTCCTCCTTCTACTGCCGATGCTCCACCATCTCCTCCTCCTCCTCCTCCTTCTCCCTGTCCTCCTCCTCCTCCTCCTCCTCCTCCTTCCCATTTTCCTCCTCCACAGCCCCCTCCTCCACCTGATCTTCCCCCTCCCTCCTCGTCCCGTCCCCCGCCTCCTTATCCTGCTCTACCTCCACAAACCGTGGGGCCTCGACATCAATCTGCCTGTCCTCGCGGAAGCGTCGCTACGGCGGCACGCAGAGTCAGTTGGAACCCAGCCAGGCCGAACAGCGGCCGAGAGGTCCGCTGGACTTGATTATCAGTCGGCTTAGCCAGAGCCGATTATGATGACGAGGACGTGGATGATGTTGTTGTTGATGATAATCATGATGATAGGGGGATGATAGATGATAGATGATGATTCTGCTGATGATGATGGTGACGATGATGCTGCTGCTGATGATGATGATAATGGTGGTGGTGGTGATGGTGATCATGATGATGCTGATGATGCTGATCATGATGATGGCGGTTACGCTGATGCTGATGATGATGATGATGATGATGATGATGAAGCTGCTACTGATGATGATGATGATGATGATGATGATGATGATGATGATGATGATGATGATGATGCTGATGATGTTCATGATGATGGTGATGATGCTGATGGTGATGCTGATGACGATGATGATGGTGGTGATGCGGATGAGAAGTGAGGGAAGCGCAGGAAGAGGTTGGCTCACGGAACATACCCCCACACTCCAACCGTCAGCGGGGCAAACGCGACGGGGGCCTCGAACGCCTGGAGGTCGCCGTCCGCCTTCTTCAGCTGGTCCTCCGATGCGCTCCGCGTCTCCTGATGGGCAGCTCGGGGTGCTCACCCACAGCTTGCGCGAATATTCCCCAAATAATTCCTGAGCGTACAGCGCGGCCTCTCATTCAGACGACAACGGGCCGAACCACCCTGGCCATCCTCTGGGAAAATTCTGAACCAAACGCCGGACCGGACTTCGGCAAACTGAGTAACATCTTGACTAATGTAATAACAGACGGAACCGTGCTCCCAGAAGCTGCTCGAGAAGCGCTGGGCCACACGGACGAGAGAGCGCCTATGATCTACGATCACCTGGCAGACTGCAGGTAGCTGTGCCTTCTGTGATTAAGCTCGGGCTTGCCCTGGCAGGGCTCCCGCCTGGGAGTGGGCCCCGGCGGTGCCAGCAGCTGCTGGCGGCCGAGGGTGTTGCAGCCGCGGTGCCGCTGGCCACGCTTTCAGCTTAGCAGAGTACTCCCACCTCGGCACCGGCCACGCTGACGGCTCGGAAGGGTGCCTTCGCCGCGGCCCGGGTCCCACTCCCGGGCTCCGAACTGTGTGCTCGCCCTGGCCTCTCGCCACGCTCCCCGCTCGGAGTGGTCCTCTCGCCTCAGCGCGGGTCAGACCCCCAGCACAGCGGTGTGCTTTCGCGTTGGCGCCCACCAGATGCACTACCCTCCCACACTTCGGAAGGATGCTCTCGACCCAGCGCCGACTTGGAGGCGGCCTGGGGGTCTGAACTGGTTTGGGCCCCAGGAGATCAGCCAGAAGGTTGGGTGGAAGGCAAATCCGTTCCAAATCGGCCCCAGGATCCCTCCCGAAGTCCATCCGCTGCGACTTGTCACCCGGGATCCGTGTTTCACGGTCCCGGGACCCGAGAACGGCTCATGGAGGCCGAAGAGAGCAACAAACCTCCCCGAGCCCAGAAGCTCGAACCTTCCCGCCCTTCTCTCGCTGGCTGGAACCAGTGCTGGGCCACCTGAGACCCCCAGACGGCTCCAAGCGCCGACTACATTTCTGGCTTAGCGTGACGCGCTCGCCCCGACAACCGCCGCATTTGCAGCTCGGAGCAGCGCCCACACCTCAGCGCCGGCCACGCGCCTCGCTCCAGTGCTCTCGCTTTCAGCATCGGCTTCTCTCATTATTGAATGACCGTCCCGCCTTAGCGCCAACTGCAATTCCAACTCAGACTGGTGTTTCCGCTTGTTTCCAGCGCATTCTTGCTCAGCGCAACGCGTCTTTTTATCAGACTGGTGATTGCGACTGTGACCCGCATTGCGCACCCTGTGGGTGCCGCGGGTTGGGGCCGAATCGCCCACTACAACTTTCAATGCCTGACAGAAATGTTGCACTAGATTGTCACATGCATCTCGCGTGGCACACCTCAGGCGCAGATGAGCAGCATCCCGCGCTTCATCACAACCTGCAAAAAACTGTCTGCTCTTCCGTGGACAACGTTTCATGAAATGAAACGGAACATGTCGTCAATCCAGCGACGCTCCGGTCGGTTCTCTCGTGCGAGGGCCGACCACGTGACCAGTTCGGAGGGGCACCATCCGTTCGCGCAGACGACGCTATGGGTTCATAAACGGTGCTGCCGACCCAGTGCCACTTTTCCTCCTCCTCCTCCTCCTCCTCCTCCTCCTCCTCCTCCTCCTCCTCCCTCCTCCTCCTCCCCCCCCCTCCCCCTCCCCCTCCCCTCCCCCTCCTCCTCCTCCTCCTCCTCCTCCTCCTCCTCCTCCTCCTCCTCCTCCTCCTCCTCCTCTACTCCCAGCTTGGAATGCCTCAGCCCGCCGACGGCCGCACCCACAGCTCAAGACGGGGCGCCGGCCTCGGCAGTAACGGCAGGCGTAAAAGGAAGGCGTGGAGGTTGAGGTTCACTCTCGAACCAGTGCTTGCACGAATGGCTCCGTAAATGGCTGCTCCTTCAACAGTTTCTCCTGGTGGGTGCCTGGTGGGCTGGGCGGATCTACGGGGATTTCTGTTGGTGGGCCCCTCGTGCGCTGGCTGGCCTGGGTTTCTGGACGGGCCTCGTGGGCGCGTCGTGCGATGGCGCGTGTGTCAGGATGCGCGCACAGTTTGCACCACCCAGATTCTTCATCTTGAAAAGAATTTGATTTTACCCCCGACCCGAGGCTGGCTCCCTCCGCATGCTACGTTCCCATATCCATTCTGCGCGATCGTTGGGTCCAACTTGGAAGTAGTAGCCACATGACAGCCACTCCTGGTACCGCCCCCCGTCAACCCTGTCAAACAAAACCATGCGGTGCACGTGCGGTGATCTAATGAGTGCTGTCCCTCATGATCACCAGCAGCAGATGCCACGCGGGCCACGCGCGCGCGCCGCCGCGCAGGGTGGCCCGCGTGGTTGTTGCCCAAACGCTGCCTGCACTTTTGGGGTTCTTGCCGGGCCGTGTGTGGGTTCCCCGTGTTCTCGCCGCGCTGGTGCCCGTGCCCGCTCTTGGGCGCCTCGCGGGCGCCGCGCGGTCCGTGCTCGCCCGCGGGCGCCCCGCGCTCGGGGGGGGGGGCGTCGGTGCTTCGGCTGGCGCCTGCCCGTGGGCGCCCGAGGGCGCCTCGTGGGCGCCCCGCACTTGGTGTGTGTGTGTGTGTGTTTGTGTTTGTGTGTGTGTGTCTCCAACGGCTCCCAACTTCGCGCTTCGCGCTGCGCGAAGCGCGAAGTGCGAATAACTTCGCGCTCTCGCGCCGCCTCCCAGGGGAGAAGAGGAGGATGGGGAGGGGCCGGAGCCGAAACCGCGAAGCGCGAAGCGCGAATAACTTCGCGCCCTCGAGGGCGCCCTTGGTCTCTGTGTGTCTGTGTCTGTGCCTGTGCGCGTATGTCGGGGTTTCGGCTGGTGTCCGCCCCTGGGCGCCCCGCACAGCTCACACCACATAGCTTGCACGGCAGAGCTTGCACCGCATAGCTCACACAGCCTAGCTCACACCGCATGGCTCGCACCACACGTCTTGCGCACCATGGCGTACTTCACATAGCTTGCACCATACAACTCACACACCATGGCTCACACATCATAGCTCACACCACATAGCTTACATTGTATAGTTCAGAGAACATAGCTCGCACAGTGTGTCGAGCAACGCATAAATCACACAGCATGAACATCCCTCATCAGAGCGGAACTATCATAGCTTACACCACCTAGCTTACACCGAATAGCTCACACCATATAGCTCGCACCACATATCTTACACACCATGGCATACGCCACGTAGCTCGCACCGCATAGCTTACACACCAAAACGTGCACCACATAGCTTACACCGCATAGCCCACACACCATAGATCACACAGCGTATCTTACACCACGTATCTCACCCAACGTGTATTACACAATGGAATTGGCACTCGATATCTTCTACCACGTAGCTTACACCGCATGGCACACACACACACTATAGCTTACACCACATAGCTTGCGCCCACATATCGCACACAACGTATATTATACAGGACACCTTGCACGCCATTGCTTCTACCTCCTAGATCACATCACGTAGCTTCAACCTCCGCAATGCAAGCACTCACGGTTTGGGGTCCACGCTGGCTAAGATGATAGCCCAAATGTATACGTCGTACTTTGTAGTCTTGTTTTCCCCGCGTACGATCCTCATGATCCTCGTCAGCACCATGGTTGTCAACATCGTCCAGGGCTGGACCACGACAATCGTTACGACCATCGTCACGAGCTGGAAGATATCATCACCATTGTCATCACAATTGTCGCCGCTTTCGGCTTCAGCACCGGCACTGTCACACCATCGTCATTGTCGTCGCCAACATCGTCGCCAACATGCTCACTCGCCAGCCCGAGTAATGGATTTGCACGCGCAGGGTCCGCGGGCCATTGCGCCTGTTGAAGTGTGTAACCAAATTCCGATGGGAAACTTCGCCCACACCCCCTGGAGTTTTGCCACCGGGTTGCAGGTGAGTGGGTGGGATATTGGGCCGAGCACTGGAATTGGCGACTTAAGTTCCATCGAGACTGCTCGGCCTAGATTCTACCACAGAGCTTGCACCCCATGGATTCGCATACATCTTTACACTGCACGACATACACTGTAGTACACACGACAGATGCTGCACTCCATAGGTTGCCGGGTTGCACTGCACATGTTGCGCCAAACGTTGCCCATCGAGGATGCATGAAGCCACTGCTTGTGATTCGCGAAGGCGAACATGTATACGCATGCACAGGACCCCATGCGGTATCACATTATGACTGTGTGCAAACACATACGGTACTCACGTACACATGTCGCTGGCGGTTAATCTCTAGAGCTAGGCAAGGCAAAGTCACAACATCTTGGGAACATGTCGCGATATCTCTTGGAAGTCTCCTCGGGAACTTACAGGGGAAGGCGTCTTAATATTTTGGGGGCGCCTTGGGGGTCTCAAGGCCGTTTGAGGGGGGGGGTCTTGAGGTCGATGGGTAGTCCCGAAGCTATCTTGGAGGACTTGAGACTGGGCCATCTTTGGTGGGTATTGGGCGCCGCGGGGCCTCCTAGGGGACCCACACCCCAGACTAATAAACAAACACATTGCGCCACAATGTTCCCCCAAACTGCTTGCGCAGCGGCTGCGGGAGCACGCAATCTGGTGGCTCGGCCAATCTTCGGCCCAACTTTCGGTTTGCATGGTCACATAGCCGTTTGCAAAACTGCATGGGGACGCGCGACTCGACAAACGTGCCCTCGATCGAATTCGCCGACCCCATCGGCGTGCGCGAGGGGCTCTCCCGTCCGAAGCTCTCATGCCCCTGCCGCCACCTTGGGGCCCCGACCTCGGGAGTTCTCCCCACTTTCCCTGCGGCAGCCTGAAGCTCTCCAAGCTCATCAGCTCGAGGTGCGAACGTACCAGGTCGCAATCGAGTAGAAGGACAAGCCCTTCCCTTTGACCCTCGCCCCATCCACTCCCAGGAGCAGCTCGGGCGATCTTGTGGCCCGTCTATCGTCGGGTCGTCTTGGGGTCGCCCAGGCTCGCTGCAGCCCTCCCAGGACGAGCCTCGGATATCTTAAGCGCTCTTGGC